ATTTTTTTTTTCTTTTTCTTTTTTTTGTATCTTTAGTAGCAAACTGCTGGGATTACAGGCCTGAACCACCACGCCTGGTGAGTTTATATCTTCTTATCATAATCCACCTTGCCTATGGCTCCCTCATCAAAAACATTCACCCTGGGCAAACATGGATCTGTTTCAAATTTTTAATTTTCATTTATTTGTTCAGTTATTTTATTCATTCAGCAAACCCGTTTATTGAACAACAAATAGACATCTTAATTCACAAACTAGGTTGTGTAATAAATGTAGCCTTCTTTACTTTTCATTCAACTTTTTCTATTTCAAGCTCTATTCTGATTATGTGGCCATAACTTATTTTCCTCAGTTTTTGTGTGAGTTCCCAACAAGATGAGATGGTTTATATAGTGCTAAGTGGAGAGTTTGAGGAGAGGTTGAGGACTAAGCTCTAACCTGTCTTCTCTCTTGCTCAAATTCTTTTTTTCTTTCTTTTTTTTTTTTTTTTTTTTTTTTTTTTTTTGAGATGGAGTTTCGCTCTTGTTGCCCAGTGCAATGGCATGATCTCGGCTCAATGCAACCTCCGCCTCCCAGGTTCAAGTGATTCTCCTGCCTCAGCATCCCTAGTAGCTGGGATTACATGCTCCTGCCCACATGCCTAGCTAATTTTTTTTCTATTTTTATTTTATTTATTTATTTATGAGATGGAGTCTGCTCTATCCCAGGCTGGCGTGCAGTGGCGAGATCTTGGCTCACTGCAACATCCACCTCCTGAGTTCAAGTGATTCTCTTGCCTCAGCCTCTCAAGTAGCTGGGACTACAGGCGTGCGCCACCATGCCAGGCTATGTTTTTGTATTTTTAGTAGAAACAGGGTTTCACCACCTTAGCCAGGCTGGTCTTGAACTCCTGACCTCAGGTGATCTGCCTGCCTCTGCCTCCCAAAGTGCTGGGATTACAGGCATGAGCCACCACACCAGGCCCCAAATTCTTACCTAAGGGCTGTTAAGAGTCACAGCCTACAAACCATAAGGTCTCATCAGACTGTCAGAGGTATTCAAACAAGAGCAACTCTATCTTGCATAGGAGCTGGGTAAAATAAGGCTGAGATCTACTTGGCTGCATTCCCAGGAGGTTAGGCATTCTAAGTCACAAGATGAGTTAGGAAGTCAGCATAAGATACAAGTCACAAAGACCTTGCTGATAAAACGTGTTTCAGTAAGGAAGCTGGCCAAAACCCACCAAAACCAAGATGGTGATGAATCTAATGGTCATCCTTACTACTCATTAGATGCTAATTATAATGCATTAACATACTAAAGGAAACTCCCATCAGCACCATGACAGTTTAAAACGCCATGGCCATGGTGGCAGGTGACTGTGATCCCAGCTACTTGGAAGGCTGAGGCAGGAGAATAGCTTGAACCTAGGAGGCGGAGGCTGCAACGGGCCAAGATTGTGCCATTGCACTCCAGCTCGGGCAACAGAGACTCTGTCTCAAAAAAAAAGGAAAGAAAAGAAATTTTAATGATCTGGGAGCTGCTGATGACTTAAGAAGGCTGGGAGGACTTCAGAGTTTAGCACATTGGTTCCTTTCCTTGTTACTCAGGTGACATCAGCGTCCCTAAGGGCCTAGTGCCAGTTTTCAAATTCCTGCAGAAAATATCCCCCCAAATTCAAAGTTACAGAGGGATAGGGAGGCTTTTTTTTTTTTTCCAGGAGTGGTTAAGAGGGATAATTGACTTTCCTATTGGGTCTGATGCTGAGTCTGATCCCAGGAACCTTTCTCTTTGGCCAAATGTCACAAGAGAACTAGGCAGGTCACCTGAAGTAGGAACTATAGTATCAGCTTGAGGAGGGATAGAGCGACTTGAGGAGAAAAAGACTAATATATGATCAAAAAGGAGACATTGTTTTGTGAAAATGAGGAAACTAAATTTGTAGCTCATTTATTGCGAGGTGTTACATTGTAAGGGCCCTTCAATAAACAATAGCTATAGAAACTGTACAGAATGATTGTTCCCCATCTACAACTCCATATAACCCTTTGCAGTTAACGTCCCCAAAAAAGCACAGCACAATTTAATAGAGAAGGCTTTTTCTTCAAACTACATTGAGATCAAAAGCCCAAAAGAATAAATTGAAGGGATAGAAAATAAAAGCAATTTAGATATAACAGTGGTTAGTTGTGCATTTAGAACTCTTATTTCCGTCAGGATACAACAAGGTAATATGTGTGAAAAGAGTTTCAAAAATATCAACGTGGTATTATTGTTTTCCTGTAGAGACAAAGGCAGTGGAAGTAGAGAAGTCATAAACAAAAGATCTTATCTCCAGCTAGCTCTTGCCTGAAAAGTAGGTGCTTAATGATACAGGTAGGTCTAAATAGTAAAAAGATGTATTCCATAAGCCACTAACTAAAATCAGTCTGGACTTCATCTCTTTAGCCCAGAGAGATTGATGATTCTAGGGAGGGGATCGAGGGGCCCCAAATCCAGGAAACTGGAAAAGATCGGTAGCTTAAAACCATTCGTTCATTTATTTATTATTCGCTTATTTATTATTTCACTGTATTTTTATAAAGAACTACTAGAGTTTCCTGGGCAAGGAACTCATAGTCTAGTAGGGGAGACAGACAAGATTAAGGAAAAAACAACACAAGTAAAGGACTTTGCTTTGAGCAAAAGAGAAGGCTCATCATTTGAGATTGGAGAGAGTTCTAGAGGATAACGTGGGAATGTGTGATCTGATGAACTGAAAAATGCTGGATGACTTCAAACTTTCTCATTCAGGTGGCAACATAGCATCATTGGAAGAGGAGAGGGAGAGCATATGGGGGTTGAAAGAGGGAATAACTCCAGTGGGCAATGTGTTGGAGAGGAGAGTTTAAATTGAACAGCATATATCTACATGGAAGCTTGATTTGAAGTTGGCTCTTACTCAATGTTAAGCAAGCAGTTCTGTACTTGATACACTATTAGGGAAGAGGCTGCAGGGAGGGGGGAATGTCTCGATGTTAGCTCTTGTCAGCTGCCTGCAGGAACTGTTTGTCCTGTAATTTTGAGTGGGAAATGTCAAATTAGCATTTTATCAGTATGTCAATCTTGGTATATATGTATATATAAAACTATACTCCTGATCTTCCTCCCCAAATTTCTTCCTCCACATTTCTTCCCCAGATCAGTTCATGGAAACTCTGTTCTTCCAGATGCTCAAGCCAAAAACTCTGAGGTCATTCTTCTTCTTTTTTTTTTTTTTAACGTAGTCTCACACTGTCGCCCAGGCTGAAGGGCAGTGGCAGAATCTCAGCCCACTGCAACCTCCCCATCCAGGGTTCGAGCAGTTCTCCTGTCTCAGCCTCCCAAGTAGTGGGGACTATAGGTGTGCTCACCACCACACCCAGCTAATTTTTGTATTCTTAATAGAGACAGGGTTTCACCATATTGGTCAGGCTGGTCTCGAAATCCTGACCTCAGGTGATCCACCCACCTCTGCTGCCCAAAATGCTGGAGTTACAGGCATAAGCCACCATGCCCAGCCCCTGGAGTCATTCTTGATTCTTCTCTTTCCTCCATTTTCAACATATACTCAGTCTCCAACACCTTTTTTTTAACCACCTTCCCAGCAGCTAGTCTGTTCTTAGCCTCCATCACCTCCTGCCTCAATGATTGAAATAACCTCCTAGCCAGTCTCCTTGCTTCAGCTCCTGCTCACCTGCGGTCCATTCTCAACACTGTAGCCATAGTGATCCAATGAGAGCAGAAGTCAGGCTAAGTCATGGCTTTGCTCCAAACCCACCATCTCTCCCAGAGTTAAACTCGACCTCCACAAAATGGATGATAAAGCCGTCCATGATTTAGATCCCGCGACCACTCCAACCTCATGTCCTCCCTTTATCCCCCCATCCACTCTGGTCCCGACACACCAGCTGTTCTTCTAACACATCAGGTAGATACCTTCCTCAAAAGGAAACTTGCTGTTTCCTCTGCCTGGCATAGTCAGTCTTTCCTCAGATAGCTACATGACTCACTTTTCATTTCTTTTCTTTTCTTTTTTCTCTTCTTTTCTTTTTTTTTTTTTGAGGCAGAGTCTGGCCCTGTCGCCCAGGCTGGAGTGCAATGACGTGATCTTGGTTCACTGCAACCTCCGCCTCCCAGGTTAAAGCCTCAGCCTCCCTAGTAGCCAGGATTATAGGTGCCCTCCAACATGCTCAGCAAATTTTTGTATTTTTAGTAGAGCTTGGGTTTCACCACATTGGCCAGGCTGGTCTTGAACTCCTGACCTCAGGTGATCTGCCCACTTTGGCCTCCCAAAGTGCTGGGATTATAGGCATGAGCCACAGTGCCCAGCCAACTTTTCATTTCTTTCAAGTGTCTTCCTAAATGTCGTTAATTAATGAAGCTCTTCTTGATCACATTTATATAAATTAGCCATTCCCTACTTCCCTGGGGTTCCTTGTACCCCTTACTTTGCTTTCATTTCTCTCTGTATCACCTTGGACGTAATATATATTTCATTTTTAAAATTGGATTCCCCTGTCTAAAATAAGGACAAGTTTGATTTTGATTTTTTCACCACCGTATTTCCAGTGCCTGGAATAGTGTCTGGAACATATTAAGCTTTTAACAAGTGCTTGTTAAATGGTCATCTATTTTTCAGGAAGAAACAGGAGGCTAGTGGCTGAAGAGGGGATGGCAACCAAGAGGGATAAATGGAAAAACCAGAAGATAGACTTTAACAAACGGCATTATGTCTCCTTTTTTTTTTTTTTTTTT